CTCTTTTGCAACTGACTTTGGCTTTAAAAGCTTCTCTTTGCAACTGACTTTGGCTTTGTACCTTTCCTTTCCCTTGGACATTAAACCACGAGTTGCTCACTCTAATGCGAGACCTTGCTTCTTGGCATAGGCATTGTAGAACTTGTAAGCCGAATAAAAAGAATCGAACTCTAGACAAGAACGAATCAATTGCCTTTCGAAACCCATTTCGTGATTCTATACATAGAACACTGCCACTGGTTGTTGATGCACAGACCGATGTGACGTGAAGAATAGGATGAAATGAACTCCGGCAGTAGAAGCAGAGCATCGGAGGAAGTCCACGGCAGCAGATGCAGTGGCTGCTGCAGCAAAAGGAATGGGGCTAGAAGGGTAAAAGTGTCAATTTGATGCATTTTAGGGCGATAAAATTTGAATTTTAGGGCGACGAATAGCAATTCAGAAGAATAAAAGATTGCACCTTTTTTTCACAGAAAAAATGAAATTGGCGCACAAGTTTAATGGAGTTACAAAATTGATCAACGTGGTCTTACAAATTGTTAAACGTAGTTTTAAAATATCACAGTTGTCATCTTACTCTTTCATCTTCTCTTTTCTTTCACAAGTCACACAAGAGTTAAAATTTATCTCACCATAATGTAGCAAATGTGTTGTAGTTGTGATTGCGCCCATAATCATAGTTAGTAAAACAAGGTATGGGAATGTTACGTATAAAATACTTACGGGTATTTTACTTCGTCTCTAATCTAATGTTATGTTTAACAGTACGTTAATAGTCATCAATATATAAAATTAATGATTTTAATTGAAAAATAATATAAATATATAAATAATATTAAAATTAACAATTTAATTCATTAAATACGGATATCAAACGTGTTATACAGGTTTTATACGTCTTTAATATGGAAGACATCAAATGAGCGGGAAAAAATGAAACGGTTTGACAATAATAGGGATACAGACGTTTTTTTCTTCTTCTTTGGTATACAAGATGCCACGGAGTTACCTCACAGCCTCCTGCCCTCCTTCCGTTCCTGCCGTTTTCTTCAGAAAGATTCCTTAACAAAATCCCAGAGCCTTCGATTGTTTGAAGCGGCGCAGCGAGGTGGAGCTCTGAAATTTCCTCTTGGCGGCTAGGTACGAAGTCCCCCCTCTAAATCTTTGGTTCTCTTTATATTTTCACAACGAGAAGAAAGAAATTAATTGAATCCGTTAATTCTTCTCTATATTTTCACAAAGGTAAGTTGAACCTTATTAGTTGTCTCTATTCCAAAGTGAAAAGCAAAAATGATTCAATATAGAGAAATCCCTAATTAACCTCTGCTAACTAACAACTTACCCGTATTCTAGACATAATTAACCCTAATTCGATCTATTCGACCTTATAATTCTAATTAATTTAGGAATTTCAAGCGGTGAACAAAAGGAGGCACTAGAATATTGAATAAACGTATTTTATCAACCCAATAATTGAATAAACGTATTTTATTTTTAATTGTATAAAGTTGTGTCTCTTGTATTGTTAATAATACTGTATTTTTTATTATTATGATCCAATTAATGTTGCTTAGAATATTAACTTTTGAATTTTATTATATTTAAGGAGATAAGAGAAGATGCGGGTTGGTCAAATCGAGCTGTGGTATTGTGAAGATATATTATAGTATGTTTATAATAGGAAATAAAAACTAGCACACTTTATAGATTTTTCTAACTCGTCTTTTAGTTGATACTATTTATTGTTTTGCTAAGGATGTTTAGTCTATCAAATGTTGAATCTTGGTATTCTTATTATGGGATTGTGATGATATTATAGTAAATCTGCTTCAATTTATTTATGAAGATGATTCAATGACACATTTTTTATATTGAGAAATGTACTTAGATTGTTCCAATGGTTCACTTGGAGTTTACAAGGGAACCCTTTGTTGATCGTCTCCCAGAACTTACATAGGTAACAATTTGTTGTTCCTTACGATATTGATTAAGGTGCATATGATCGTCCCTACAATTTAATAAGTGACAATTAGATGTCTCTGGAAATACAGAGTAAAGGATAATTGGTCGTCCCCACAAGTGATATAGTCATATAGGTGACAATTAATCATCTCAAAAGACACATACTAAAGGACAACAAGTCGTTCATACGAGTTACGTAGGAGATAATTAGTCGTTCCCAGAAGGTGCATTAGTCACAATTCCTTGTCCCCCAATACACAAGTTAAGGGACAATTGTTCGTTCCTAAAAGTCATAAGCGACAACTTGTCGTCTCTAAAGATATAGAATAAGAGACGACTCATAGTCCTTGAATAAAGCTTTTGGGGACGATGTTTGGACTCCAATTTGATACCTATGAGAACAACATGTCAACCCTATAAAAATAAAAGGGGACGATATTTTATCCCCATATTGTCCCAACGCAATTATGAAATCGATTATGAGGGACAACAGGTTGTCCCTAGAAATGATGTTTGGGGGACGACTTATTGTCGCTAAAGTTATAGCTATGGGGACGACATTTTGTCTTTTATGGACAAGAAACGAGACGACGACTTGCGAGTATCGGGGACGACTGTCGTCCTTAGTATGGGGACAACCTAGATTTTTGTCGTCCCCAAAAGAATAGAGGACAAGAGTATAGGGAACCACTTTAGTCGTCCCCAAAAACTATATGGACGATTTTTCCTATTTCCGGGACGACTTTTGTCGTCCCCAAACCTCCTCTTTTTTGTAGTGGTCTTATCCGCACTTAACGAGTGGGTGATGGTTGGGTTGCTGGCAGGGGCGGACCTATGTTAGAGGGTGGTGTGTCAATTGACACACCTCCAAAAAAATTTCGATAAAAAAGTAAGGTTCGTCGGTGCCAAAATTCGAACACAAGACCTCTTGACACAGCTTTATAGTAGACTCAGAATCATTCCATTAGTCTATGAACATATTATTGTTATAACTTTGCTAAAGAACTTATTGTATACGAAAAGTTTATTAATGTGTAAATAATTTCCTTATACGGAAAGTTCATTGCTTCAAATTCAAACATTTGGGTTTGTCTTTTACATGAAGTTGATGATTGCAGTGCTTGCAATTACAAATGAGTTGTCCATATCATTACAAAGGAAAGATCAAGACCTTGTTAATGCTATGCAACTAATTAATTGCTCAAAGCACAGATTGCAAGAGTTGAGAGATAAAGGATGGGAGCCTCTCCTCTGTGATGTGATTTCATTTTGCACTAAGGAACAAATTGATGTTCCTAACATGAGTGACTTGTTTACTCTTCCTGGAAGAACAAGGCGCTACCCTCACCAACCCACAAATTTGCATCACTTTCAAGTTGATGTGTTCTATGCGTTTTCTGATATGCAATTGCAAGAACTGAACACTCGATTTAGTGAAGTGAATACTCGATTGTTGGCTTGTATTTCTTGTTTTAGTCCAGCTAACTCATTTGCTGCTTTTGATAAAACAATGTTGATGAGTCTTGCTGAGTTCTATCCTGAGGAGTTCCCTTCCTCTGTGTTCACTTGACTGGATCAACAATTAAGCGGCTACATTTATCATGTCAAGCAAGATGAGACCTTCAAGGGACTGCGAGGAATCGATGAGCTAGCTAGGCGAATGGTGGAGACAGGAAAGGATACTACTTGGCCATTGGTGTACTTGATGTTGAATTTAGTGTTGACTTTACCTGTTGCGACTGCAAGCTGTCAAAGGGCATTTCAGCTATGAAGTTTATCAAGAACGATCTTCGGAACCGGATGGGAGATCAATTTCTGAATGATTGCTTGGTTGCATTTATTGAAAAAGGTTTGAGTAATAGAATAAGCGATGAATGTATTTTACAAACCTTTCAGAATATGAAAAGCTGTCGTGGCTCCTTGTAAAAAATGAGAATTTTTATAATTTATAAATTATTTTTATATTTTAATTTTATTATTGAACCACCTCTCTAAGAATCCTGGGTCTGCCACTGATTGCTGGTCAACCGAATGAACTCACCTTATCTGACTGTTTAAACGCGGTGACGACGGAACACAAAGGATCGATGGGTCAGACCTCATATATAAGGGATCAACAACCGAATCCCAAATCGACGTGGTGATTGGATTCATCGACACTTGTCAGGTGATGTTCCACGTGGGAGTGTACTGCGTCTACTGAGAGTAAGCCCCACACGCTCTCTCTCGACACCTGGCCGTTGAGCGGCCACGCATGCATTGCATGGCGCCGTGTCTCAAGTTTATAAATTGTGATGGTGCAGAGGCAGTGTTGAGTGTTGACAGAGGAGGAGGAAGCCAAAGTTGACATTACCACTACAGATATTAGTCTTCGTTTCTAGCTAATCATTAATAATTCACACTGTGCTGTTCCGCCATGGTCATGGACCCAAACATTAACTACTTGTACAATTAAGTTAATTAACTAGTTTACAGTCAGTTATTGACCCATCAAAACATATCATGATTGGTAGGCTCCAAATTTGCAATTGATCACATATGTGATACAAAAAATAAACATCAATTAGCGAATAGATATAACCGAACGCAATTAAACTCATCAAACTGATCAAATATCTACAGCATCTAATACGGGTTATTTAATTTGATTGAGTGTTTGACAAACTTGTTATTTGATAATATATCTGTTCTGGGTTAGAAATTGTCGTTTTGGGTTAATTGTTATTTGACAAACTTGTTAATTGTCGTTTTGGGTTAGAAATTGTTTGGAATAAAGAAAGAAGGAAACGGATTAAGAGTATAATTAACTAGTAGTATTTATTTCTCAACTTCGTTCTTTTAACTGGCGACATACGTCAAGAGTATTATTCTTCTCCATTAATGTAATTTGCAAGAGCTTGTTCCGATTCCTAACAGTATAGCGTATTAAATGTATTCTGGTCCAACCACCAACTTACCAACTCATCGTATGAACTATGAACCCTTTCTCTCAAATGCTTCATTTATCGCCTATATAATCCCGTCTCCGGACAGCATTATCCACTCACACACAGCTTCCAATCTTTACTGAAGATCGAGTACTTAAAGGCCTCGACTACTCATTCCTTTTCAATTCATCATCCTCTCAATTAGTCTCGCCACAATAATGGCTGGTGTTGCGAATAAGTTGGTGACGATGCTCTTGGTCTGCGCCTTGGTGGTTGCAACTATGACGTCGGTGGATGCTACTCTGAGCTGCGGGCAAGTGGTGGGCAATCTTACTCCATGCCTCAACTACCTGAAGAACGGTGGCCCCGTCCCGGCCCTATGCTGCAACGGGGTGAGGTCCCTCGCCGGCTCTGCCAAGTCCGCCCCTGACCGCCGGCAGGCTTGCCAATGCTTGAAAACTGCCGCCGGTGGAATCTCCGGCTTGAAGGAGAACTATGCTGCTGCCCTCCCCGCTGCATGCAGAGTCACTATTCCTTACAAGATCAGCACCAAGACCAACTGCAACGCGTAAGTGTAACTTATTAGATTAGTAATATCACTAAGCGAATTGCCGCCTTGATCTAGCTAATGTTTTCTAAATTTTGTTTTGTTTTCGTTTCGGCAGCATGCTGTGAAGATCGTAAAGCGAAGGAGAAAGAGGTGGACGACGTCGTAAAGTGAGGGAGGGACTATCGATGTAATCATAAATCATATAATAATATAAATAATAAATGTGTTGGGAGGGCGGACGGAGACAGGAGTCTCCGGTACTCTTAATATCCTCTCTAAACTGAAGGACGGTTTCTGAGTCTCATCTCTTTTCTTTTCCTTGATTTCTTATTCCTAATTTTGTATGTACGAAAATATACAAACAAAGTATAATTCACAAGTTTACAACTAGTATGAATATTGGGATTTATGCAAGTAAATTTAAAAGTTGGAGGAAAATGGAACGGATATTTTTTTACGAGACAAATTTTTGGTACGATGACCCTGAATACTCGTACGAAGTAGAATGATAGATCAAAAGAAATTACAATAAGAGAAAGAAAATAAATAACTAATTGACTAACAATCTTCTATTTTATTAACGAAAGAATGAGTAATTTATAAGTAAAGAAAATACAGAAATTCATCTCTTTCCCGTTTCCCCTTTTAGGCCGTTCGCTCCCTTTTTCTTTTGCCATACGAATTACGAAATAACACATCGATTGATTTTCTCGGTCGAACTTACAAACCAAAAAATATAATCTACTTTTGATCTGATACTCGACCATAATAATTTTATTTAAAAACAAATGAACTTAAACAAACAATGTAATTTTTTTGTGACTAAAGTAAAAAAAAAATCATATTTTTCTAAACCTAACTGCCTCGGAAATAGCCTTAACAACACACGTCGGCAGAGATGCGAGAGCCCCAGCAAGGCAGCAATAGCATGAAGGGAGCCTGAGCCGATCTTCATGTCGAAAAGGTTGGTGTCTTCCTCCACCTCCGGTCCTCACTTCCCATATGACGTACGTAGCTGACCTCCCAGCTACTGTTACCCCGCCGCCTCCTTCCCCATCATAGTTAGGAAATAGACTCCATCTTCCCTCCAAATTGTAGTAGTGAAGTTTGCATTTTTTTTTTAACATTAATTGTGAAATTTGATTTCTGTTTTTCTTGACCTATAGCTTTTTCCTCCTTTTTCATCTGCCTCCTTACAAGATATTTCTTTTATTTTGTATCTACTAACACTATAACAAATTCGGCCTATTAGGCCAAAATTTTATTGTCATTTTTTGTTTGTCACAATAGGTATGGTGATATGACAAAAATAATATATGTCCTATTTGGTATGCCCAATGTGACAAAAAATTGTTGTCAGATTAAGTCATCAGTTTAAGTGAGTAATGTGACAAGTATATCGTGTCACAATTAATTTTGTCAAAATAAGCATCCCATATCGGGATGTAAGAGACTCAACAGTCACAAATTTCTTGTTGCCAGAATAGTTCATAATTTAAGGTGAATAATGTGACAAATATTTCGTGTCATAATTAAGTTTGTCAAAATAGTCATCCCATATCGAAATATAAGAGATACAAAAGTAACAAATTATATCGTCAGAGTAGCTTTTGTCATATTATTCCTAAAAAATTCTTGCATAGGAATTTGACTCTCCCGCAAATCCTCGTCCCCTATTCTAAATTTTGGCTCATCAAATATTTGGCTCCACAATACCAAATTTTTTTGTCTTCCCGCAAAGTATTACCGTTCTAGTCAAACAACCCCCAAAATTGAAAACGGTGGCATAATTTCTCGCTCACCCTCTCTAATTACTTCTTGACCCAACCGTCTCTAATTACCTCTCTAATTTCTCACTAGCTTGTACCCTGCCCTTTGGGCAGGTAGTATTTTTATAATATAATTTTAAATATATTTGATAATATTTTAATTAATTATCAATTTGTTATGAATTATAATATTTTAACCGGAGGTTCCCATAAATATATTTGAAATTAATGTGAAAGTTCCCATAAATTAATAAGTTAAAATCAATGAGAAAACGTTCACATCAAAGAATTGAAATATTATACCGAAGGTTGTATAAAAAAACTCTTCATTAGGTTATTTTATGCTAAAACAATGGTTCAACTGTGGTTCGACCGTTTTATACCGCCTAATATTTTAACTTCTGGTAGAAAGTTTTTTTTTATCGAACCACCGATACCGTTTTCCAATACTTGATTCACATATATGCACCATTTTAAGAGATATATCATGTATATGTCTATAGAATAAAAAACTATGATGTATTAAAAAAATGGCTTAAGAATTAAGAAACTTACTTTACGTTTATTAAAGCGTAATTACTCGCATAAAAAAGTTTAATTACTAATCAACATGCATTTCCAGTTTAGAAAAAGCCTAAACCAAAAAAAGCCTAAACCCCAGTATCTTTCCCCATTAGACGGAGAGCACGGAGTTCAAATCAACACACTTGTCGGATTGGTAGCGCCGTAGTGCGATAAGGATGACTCATCGGAGGAGAGAGTTTCATCTTATTGAAGAGAAGCGCGTCGGCGATTGAAAAAGAGATCCAATCGTCGTAACTGCTTTAATATATTTAATAGATAGATAGATTTTTCATATCACCACAAACCTCATCTATGTTTCTTCGCCGGTTCACCGCTCCCAACTCTGTGTGGGCTCAAACTCGATTCTTCTTTCGCCGCTCCAATCCCCTGCACCATTTCCTCCCGCCTCCGTCGCTACTACTTTTGAGATGCCGCTCCTGCCAAGATTTTTGGTTGATAAAGTCAACAGTGATGGCTCCAAAACCTCCAGCCCGGGTGAGGCGGTTCTCAAGGTTAATCGATTTCATGTTCTTTCTGGTTTGTTATGGGGTTTTGTTGGTGGAACAAAAATGTTTTGGTGGTGGTGATATTACCGGCCTCGTATAATACGCTTCTTTTTTGTGTTTCCTTCGATTTTCTGTGCTTTAGGGTGTAGATTGACGTTGGAGGGGACCTGCAACAGAAGGCAACTAGACCAAAGACTATCTATTTTATTTTCAGTCCACGGAATAGTTAACAGAGTTGCGGCCGGTTATATGCAAGAGATGGGAAAGAAAGCTTGTGAAGTGAACGTCTTTTATTGGAGTTATTGGTTTATGTGGTTTTATGCATCGACTCCGGGAAATTGTGTGTCTAATTTTGAAAGTTAAGGTCAAATTTACCATGAAAGCAGTAAGAAAAGAGATTGGTCTCTCAATTAGAAAGGGAGGGGGGAATGGTTATAGATCTAGACTTCCGGGCAATTGTGTGTCGATCGTATACAATTCTGTAGGTTTAGAGTTTTTTTAGGCCCATATCTAGACTTTCGAATACCCTTTAGGGTGGTTTGGTTTAGTGGGGTTATCTTTCTGCCTCATTTTCCTTAATGGAACAATGTTCCAATGTTTGATTCAACCCACATGAATGGGTGATTTGAACTGAAATTTATGTTTATATGTCAAGAGTTTTTAAATGGTTGGTGTGGTAACTGTAAGTTACATATAACCAACTAGATGGTTTCTAATTTAGCTCCAAGAAATTGTAGCAAGGGGGTTGTATATGTCATTGTTGGAGAGAGGAGACGATCTAGGGAATGAGAAGATGGTGGGAGTGATAACAATGCTTCATGAAGAGAAGAAGGTTGTTTATCATATGAGACAAGAAGATTGGCACATGAATTGATAACTTCTTTAATTTGATTTAGTTTAAACTATGTACTATTGTTCAAGTTTTTTTCGTTTATAATGGTTTATTATATTACCTCTGATATATTTTGAACAGTAAGTTTCATTAGTTTAATATCCATTTTTCAGTTTTCACAACCCATGGAGAAAGAATTGAACGCTGGTATACTTTGCAAATTTCTCATTGAAATTGTTTAACTTGTTGCAGCCTGCAGATATTTTATTATTGTTGCAATTTTGTAGATTTCTCTTGTTTGCTTATGCTTTGTTGCAGTTTCTGAATCTAATTTGCGATTTTTTTTGTTGCTGTTTTTCTAGAGGAGGTGGTTAAGTCACTAATTTTCCGAATATCTGCTGCAGGGGTTGGCTGCTCTTGTTTTGCTTAAAGCCATGTGCGAAAGCTGCAGCAGCTACCTGCAGGTACTAGCGTTTAACACCTCAACCACTGATTTAGGCTATTAATAGGTAGATTTGTGGCCATCTCATAATAGTTTTATCGTGACCTTGTACTTCTATGTGTCTCTATAGAAAACCTATAGGTTTTGGCGTTAATAATCCTTTCAATTTGATGTAGGTTTTCTCTACAGATTATATGAACATATAAGCGGCAACAGTAGTGACAACAATAGGCGAGCATTGTCGTGGGATTCAAAATTCCCAGATTAGTTTGTTTAAGACACCAAAAATAGTTAGATATGTAACTAGTATTTGTTTGATCGAAGTTTCATGCTAAAAGAATATTAATTTTTTCAACTATATGTTATTTAGTATATTTATGAATAAATCATATTGGTCACAATATGCAGTTATGACAATTCACGTTCGTCCTAATATACAGTTGTGACAAAATATATTCGTCATACTATGCAGTTATGACAAAATATATTCGATACGCCATGCGGTTATGACAAAACATTTTTTTACACCATATATTTATGACAAAATTTGTTTGTCACAATTATGTGATGTCAAAATATAATGGTGTAATATGACAACAATTTCTGTCAAAATAAGCAAATTATGACAAAAATATGTCGTCATAACATCTCTGTTTGTCACAATAGACTACCGAGAACCACAGCTATACTAAAAGCAAATGTGACAACCTTGTTTTAAACTTTTGTCACATTTGACCTATCCTGACGGCGATAAAATGAAAAACATTTGTGACAACACCTTTTGTCATATTATACCAAAATGAGTATCTAATAGGACAAAATTGCGTCATTATAATAGGTTGAATTTGTTGTAGTGAAGGACAGAGCGTAGTGACTGTATTTGGGAGGTGTATTATGAACTTTATCATGCATGTTTCAACATTCAACCTATTTCTTAAAGATCCCGCATCTCCTCACTTCAAACAAGAACCGTGGTGTCGTATTGGACTAATGCCTATTGGAAATGGTAAATAGTTTTGAAAGCTATATGTCTCAAGGCAAGAATACACCATTGGTCCAAGCATTCGTCAAAGAGTTCTTCCCTCCATGGAAAACCGACGAGCTAAGAGACCAAATTGCTTGGTTTAAGTAACGACCTCACGAGTCATTGTACGAACTGTGTGGGTGCGTTATCAAGGGTTGCTTCATTCTTTCCCTCATCATGGGTTTGCACAATAACAAGTGGCGGAAATCTTTGGCAATTTCATCTACCTAAATAC